TGAGAGAGGGATGGGGGCCCAGGACTGATTCTGCTATCACTTGCCACTGATGTTAGCTGTGTTACTGAGAGGCGAACGCACGTCAGCGGCTTCACAGCATAGCGTGTCAAGTGATACTATGTTAAAATATACTCTGTATTTTTAGTGCTTCTATCAAAGGTGGAGTGGTGGTGCGGTGGTTAACGTGCTGCGCCGAGTTTGATTCCCCAACGTCAATGGCGAGTGATGTCCGAACCGGCTCTGGCCACCATTCTTCACCAACGCACACTGAGAAGTGTGGTGAAGTACGGTCACAACTCCCCCACGACCAACATGATGTTGGGGGAGCGGGGTGGGGTTCAGTACGCAGGGGAGGGATTGGGGTTAATGTTTACGTGCCACCCGGAGGCACATCGATACGTTTCATGATACGGGCATGTGTGTCACTCTACATGATGTGTTTATGTGACCCATCCCGCCACTGGACAACCGCTACATTCACCGTGATGGATTTTAATTAAAACAAATCGCGACAAATCATTATTCAGTCGGGGCCAATCGTTAGAACTCTGATTGATCACAATTGACATGACAACAGGTTGTTTTAGTAACAAGTCAACATGAAAAAGGTGCAGGCCTGCAATTGCCTGTTCACACCACTGCTTTGTGGAAGGGCCTCCCACTCAGGAGAGCTCCATTGAGTCCCTGTCGAGGGCCATTGGGACTTTTTCTTCAACGATGGCCAAACGTCTTGGGGGGGGGTTCGGTGGTGAGCGGCACAGGCAAGGGGGGGGGGCACAATGGCGAGAATCTGGCCACATAGAGAGGGGGCATGTAAACTAAAACTATAAACAACTTCTCTTGTTGTACCAGCTAAGACCCACTGAGCTAGATAGCTCTGTTTCAGAGGTGACCTGGGCCACCAATGGTAACTCAACGAGGTGGCTTATCAAGTGAAATACTCTCAACGCACGTTTATGAATGTCGAGGGGAAACACCGGAGGACCCTGAGAAGAATCCACGTGACCACGGGGAGAACGAAACGTAGACCCCAAATACACGGCAGGCGTCAGGGTTGGGATCCAACCCATGAACCCCCTGCTGCATACCAGGTGAAGGAGTTAGCATCTCGCCGCCGTGGCACCTAGAACCACACCTTTACCTTGTCATGCCACTGATTTCATCATCGTAATCCAAGATGCAGTGCTTTGAATGTTCATGAACAGCCGTCCCTTTCTCTCTCGCCCACAGACATTGACGAGTGCGCGTCGAGCCCTTGCGGTCATGGAGGGACCTGTCTCAACCTGGTGAACGGGTTCAGCTGCACGTGCCCTCCACAGTGGACGGGGCACACCTGTCTCCTGGGTGGGTGACGTCCAGTGCCACGAGTTCTACGCCTGTCTGAGCTCACATCGTCGTCGGCACTTTGAGGATTCTGAAGGCTCAGCGTCAATGAATTTGGTTCCCGGAGGCCTGACCGGGGCACTGTTGGTATTCTTCAGGTTCGGTGCCAATGCCCCAAGGCTCATGGAACCATCTAGAATATAATGCTCAAAGCGCCAAGTGTCTCGTCGGTAACAATGTCATTGTATGTCTGTTGAACTTATTTCGCACCATACAGCGTCAACCTCGCTAATCACAGGTCCAGAGGGAAGGACAGTGAACTAGACAAATTGGGGTGGGGCTTATCATCATTGGAGATCCGGAGCCTGCGGGATAAATTCCACATTCACATGGCGGGGACCAATCACTTCATCAACAGCCGCTGCTGATTCACCAAAACAAGTTGCCTGCTTTGTCGACCCTCTGTGGGTGATTATGGGCTGACCCCTTTGCAGATATTTTCGCCTCGCAACTTTGCAACTGTGAGTATGACCCTCTGCCAGCCAGCTTGAAGCTTGAACAATGCGAAAGTTAACATTGCATCGTGTGCCCGGATGGGGGGGGGGGGGGGGGGGGGGGAGCCCGCAACATGTTTGCTGCAGAAAAGTTAATGCCACGGTCGCAAGATGTTAACTATCTCGCCTGGTATACAGGAGTTTGTGGGTTCGATCCCAACCCTGATGCCTGCTGGTGTATATTTGGAGTTTGGATGTTCACCCCATGGTCGCGTGGACCCCTTTCACATTTAAAATCAACGTGCGTTTTTAGAGTGTCTGGCTGCTATAAATGACCACACGATAGCCACTTTGTTGAGCTATCATTTGTGGCCAGGCCGCTTCTGAAAAAGAGCTGTGTAACTCAGAGGGCCTTACCTGATAAAAATAAAATTAGTTCATAATGCCGCCTATCAAAGCTTGTCGCACCTGCGTATCCCAAGGAGGTGCGAAGGAATCCTTCCTTCCCAGTGAGCGCTTTGCGTGCTTGAAGGTGACGTTGGCGGTGGCTGCGCGTCGGCCTTTTCACAGATCAGGACGAGTGCGATGACAACCCTTGCGTTCACGCGCGCTTCTGCAAGAACCTTTTCGGAGGCTACTACTGCGGTTGCCTGCCCGGGTGGACTAGACAGAATTGTGACATTGGTAGGTTCACCTCTCTCCTCCACGCCCACGTGCATCATCGGTGTCAAACAAAAACACACGTGCATTTCGATAGACGCTGAAATCAATGCTATTCTTTCAACCCAATTGCCTAGTATAACGTGCAACCTCAGGCCAACTTTTGTCACGTGGTTTGAGCAGTTGAATCAACATTGACCAAACATTTTAAATGTATTGCCTATCTAACCTATAAAAGTATTTTTTTGTCTGTCCGTCCAAGTCTGTCCGTCTGTCTGTCTGCGCACGCGCGCTTGCGAGGGATTTGTCTCTCAAACGGTGGGGTTAACGTCGAAAAAAAATTGCCAGGCAGCACGCCCTAAGTCCCGCGGTGGATATAGGCTATTCCGTTTCCCATCCGTAAACTTTAAAGTAGTTAAATGAACAAGTTAGTGGGGCCGTGGGTAGCGGCCCAGCCCCCAGCCTGGCAATGTGTCACCGGCTGGGCAATCTAGGCGAGGCCTCGGGCTCTGCACGGGACGAGGCCTCACCACGGCAATGTAAAGTAATTTTTATTTAAACTTTCGCTAAGAACTCAGGTTCAGTGTTTACTATTATTAAACCAATTAGTTGGCAGATATTACAATAATAATATTTGTGTGCAGATAACAACTCTGGTTCATTGTTTACTATTATGAAACTAATAAGTTTTAAATGGAGTCGCTATCTTATTTTAATGCTCTAAGCCCATCGAATGTTCGCTCCAGTCTTGATATGTCTGGGCCAAACTGATTGTATCCTGGGTTTCTGGTCTGTCAGGTGTAGTGGCACACGCATGTAATTCAACATTCTGATAGATGACTGTGCAAGGCAGAATCGAAAGTAGGTCCTTGACCTAACTGTGGGGATTATTTTCCTTGACACGCTGCGGATGCTCCCAATTTCCTCCCACGTACAAAATACTTGGAAATAAATCGACCAATTCCCAGGAAGACAGTCAAAAGTCCCGTGGCAGAATCAGCCTGCACTGTCACCCTCCCACACAGAGCAGTGGTGTACTCATTTTTAACAGCCCCGGAATGATGACAGAGAAACTGGGATCCTTTAGGGGGATTTAAAGCTTGCAACTGTCCAATTCATCAGTTGGTCACAGTGTCAAGAAGCCACCTGGCAGGATTGCAGAATCAGCCTGGGTGTGTTCCCTGTGTCGCCGACACACTGCACACCAACACCAAGTGTGTCCCACCATCTTCTTGGTTCTTTCGGTAAAGTCACGTAGAAGGAAAGTAATACAATAATAAAAATAAAACATAATAAAATAAAATAATTCTCACGACGTTTCGGCCACAACGCAAGCAGCCGTCTTCAGGTGAAGAATGAGACACTACCAAGCTAGGAGCTTATATATACGCTGGGTTGGAGGTGGAAGAAGAGCGCCTTAACAAAAAGAATGTGCATATGAAGAGGAATTTAGCATATTCATGGAAAATGCGTAGGAGGTGGGCGAGGGGGTTTCAAAGTCATTTTCCATGAATATGCTAAATTCCTCTTCATATGCACATTCTTTTTGTTAAGGCGCTCTTCCACCTCCAACGCAGCTTATATATAAGCTCCTAGCTTGGTAGTGTCTCATTCTTAAGCTCCTAGCTTGGTAGTGTCTCATTCTTCACCTGAAGACGGCTGCTTGCGTTGTGGCCGAAACGTCGTGAGAATTATTTTATTTTATTATGTTTTATTTTTATTATTTTATTACTTCCCTTCTACGTGACTTTACCGAAAGAACCAAGAAGATGAATCCCTGCAGTCACGAAAGCTTTAAATCGAAATGTATCCCACCAGTGAATGTGCACGCTCCGGCTGCGCGCACCGGCGTCTTGTGTTGTTCGTGCGGTTGCTCCGCCGGCGAGCGGTGGCTTTCCCTTGGAGTGCTCCGTGAACAACGCCGTGGCGACACTGGGCCGTTCGAGCCATGGCCTCATTCAAGGCCTGCGCTTGACAAACACTCGCCTCTGGATTCTGTGCCAAGTGACGCGATGACCTTGAAAGTGTTTGTCATTTAACAGCCCCCGGCCCCCCCCCCCACCAACAAATTTGACTCTACCCCTCTTTCCTGTGGCCATAACCTCATCGCAACATCTCCAAGCCACAAACACGTGCCTTGACAAATGGGGGGGGGGGGGGGGGGTATTGAATGACGGTGAACCCGGTTTGAGACTCGATATGGTCGATTGATTAATTTGTTCATGCTGCCCAATAGATGTTTTATTGTACACTGATCACCCCACATTCATAACGAACGTTTGGAGAATATTCATAATTTGAGTATGATGGGTTCTCAAGCTATTCATGACTGGTAACTGATTGGTTAAGCAATGCACATACAACAAGTCGCAGACGACACATCGATATGTCGAGGTCTCCAATGTTTAGTGCATCGCAAATGTGCAACACACCTAATGCACGTGTGCCCTCTATTGCCTGCCTAGAGACAGATTTTTAGGAATCATAGTAACGATCTTCTATCTGTTCTCTTTCATTTCACCAGCTGTCAATGACTGTGAGGGGAAGTGCTTAAATGGAGGAGCATGCAAGGTAAATGCCGACCCACAAACGCACTTCCTCTGAAGACATTTCATTGCATTGTCTCATCGTCGTGTGCATTCACTTACAATGAATCATCTTCTGGGCGCCGATGCCTTAGGGTATGAGACTTGACGTGTGTTTAGACTGCAACCCAAGTCTTATACTATATTTGTTGTGGGAGCATATCATATCAAAAGCTGTGGGTTGTTGCCTCTGCAGCTTGATCTAAGTAATTATACATGCGCTTGCTATCACGGGCGCCGGTAATGGTTAAGAGTAACGACTTCTATTGCAGCTTACTGCTCACAGCGTTTGTAAATGCCCCGTGAATTTAGCTTCCTTATTAATGAGTACGTGCCACCCCAGACACTCAATGTTTATGTAAAAAAAATAACATGAAAACATTGTTAATATTTAAGTTGTCTGGAGTTGCGTTGGCTTTGTCCACAGTTTAAGAACAAGTTGTTTTTTAGTCTTTTTTTCTATCGAAATTTGTTTGTCTGTTTGGACAGCTTTTTGTTGAAGACCACAAATCATAACCTTAACCAAACAAGCAGAGTTTCAATACATTATTTGTATTGATTTATCTTGTTGACACTGTTATTCGGAAAGCGTACCTTTTATTTGAAACGTGCATTCATGGAGATACTTACGCAGAATTCATTTTTCTTTTTAAATACTGCGGCACTTTGCCATTAAACGTTTCCATTTGCGATGGTTCAACACAATCGCGAAACACCGCCGAAGCGAAGCGAATGCAAAGTAGACGACACCGAAAACGGGGATATTTCACGCGTCGACGACGTACGACGTCGTTCCACTCTGGCAGGACCTGACCGACGATTACAGCTGCGAGTGCAAGCCGGGCTACACGGGCAGACGCTGCGAGACGGAGGCGGACAAGTGTGCTGCGAGCCCGTGCCTCAACGGCGGCCAGTGCAGGGACGCCGTCGATTCCTACGACTGCGTTTGCACGGACGGCTTTGCCGGCGACAGCTGCCAAGTAGGCGCCGCGTTTGTTCTCGAAGCGAGCTGCCGCGTGATCTCCGTCCGCGCGCCCGCGGCTGCGTCGCTTTTCATCGAGACCGGTGTTGCACGCACATCGAGCCCTGCGAATCCCAAAGATGCCGTGGATTTGCGTCCGCCGGGCTCTGGCGTTGATGACGAACCCTGAGAACAGCTGTCCAACGTGTGTTCGGACTGCGCCATGGGCTTTGTTCGGCGTGATGTCCGACGTTTCGCCGCACGTGCCGGAGGCTTCTTCTGGAACCGACCGAAGGAAGTTCCCGGCACGTGTAGCGAAGCGTGGACCATCGCGGCGAACAACGCACGGCACGACCAACAATCACGCTGTGGAGATCCACAGCAGCGCAACCTCTACAGTCTTTACACGCAAAGTGCTTGCCACAAATGAGCCACAATACCTTGCTGATCTTGTTAAGGAGCATAGACCATCACGCGAACTTCGGTTATCCTCACAGCGGCTTTTGGTTAACCATCAGAGATTAGAAAGCCACTGGAGTTATGCTCCGCACCGCCGATGAGCGCGGTTGACTACTTGCGGTGCAAAAAGAGTTCAGGAGTAGAACCCGATGAATCTCATGGAATACCAATGAAGGCACTCTGAACAGTGGGCATTAACAGTTAACCGAAAGAATTATAAACGTGAATTATTAAGAGTAGGGTAGAATAATTTTTAAGAATATAAGAAGTATAATTTAAGACGGATAACTTCTAATTTCTCAAGTAGTTCATAATAAAATGGTTGTATTTGTAGTTGTTAATGAGGGGTCTCAATTTTGCATTGAGCATGAGGAGAGTGGTGATGGCGAGGTGTGATGCTTGGTATCCGTGATGACCTCCAACCTTGAGAGCACGTTTGATCTGCTTGAGGTTTAATTTTTTTATTTCGATTTAAAGCTTTCGTGACTGCAGGGATTCATGTTATTGGTTCTTTTGGTGAAGTCACGTAGAAGGGAAATAATAAAATAACAAACATAAACCATAATATAATAAAGTTCTCACGACGTTCCGGCCACAGCGCAAGTAGCCGTCCTCAGGTGAAGAAACAGCTGTCTGACAGACAGCGCTCCAATGGACACCGCTAAGCTTGGCGGCTTATTTTTAAACTGGGTGGGAGGAGCAGAGCGCCTTGACAAAGGAGTTTACATATCAACAGATTTTTTATTTTTTTACATTTTTCACTTTCGGCCAAATTCTTTGACCCACGGTGGGCTGCCCTCCATCCGCTCTGCTGTGTGTGCGTGCCCATGTCAGCACTCAAACGTGTGCACACACGCCAACAGTTCACACGGCCACATTGTGCACCTCTTTCTAAAGAGGCTTTCAAAAATGCTTTGATGCTCATCCAGTGGTTTTGTACTTTCGTTGAAATCAGCTGCTGCCATTGAATTTATATGGAAAATGTGCTGCTCTGATGTATACATAAAAAAACGCTCAGTTCTCTTACTGATATTGGAATGATTTTTATTTATTTGGATTAAAAAATATATATATATTATGCCCTATCCCCAACTTTCTAGGTTATCTTCTGAACACCGTTGCAAGCATGCACGAGTAGTTATCCTGTTAATTAATTTGTCTCATCCGTATTAATTGTCTACCCGTGATGTTGTTTCTGCTTTTTTTTCGTCACGCTGTCTGCGAAAATGCGATGGATTGGGCACAGATCTGGGTTGATGGCCGGGTGACTCGGCGGTCGGAGCGAGCGGCTCGCAAATCGGAAAGGTTGCAAGTTCAAATCCCAGATGGCTGTTTGACTCAGCCCATCATCGCCTTCATAGGTGCTCGCTAACAGCACTTGCCCCAACAGTCTGTTAAGCATATACGGGGGGGGGGGGATCTTTGTCTTTGTTTTTGTCCTCAGCTGCACGTGGAAGTCTGCGTCCCGAACCCGTGCCAGAACGGGGCCCGGTGTGAGAACCTCCCCACGGGCGATTACTTCTGCCACTGCTCGGAGAACTTTGAAGGAACAAATTGCACCCTGCTGAAGGACCATTGCCTCACCTCGCCCTGCCAGGGTAAGTCGTCGTTTCCCCAGCCGCAATCGTCGCCTCCATACCCGAGTTTCTGCTCTTAATTTTCTGAAGGGCTAAGAGCCCATCGATGTCATTTATTTAATGTTTCAAATCGATGCTCGTGGAGCCTTGCGTGCCCACACAATCGTGGATAGTTTGGTGCGCCGCGGTACGTGCGGAAGTGAAGACGAACGTGTTTGCTGCTGCAGTGGCCGTCTTTCCGCCGGCAGTGACGTAAGGAGGCCATTGCACGGCCGCACCTTTACCCGTGTCTGCTGGCAGGGAAAGGTAAAACAAATGAAGGCTTACTCGCAGCCTCAAAGGAGCGTGCGGGCAGGTGGTGCTAGCCAGCTCTTGTGTTGAGGTATCATTAATGGTGTTTCCACAGCAATCAATCAAGCTTTGGAACACTTGCATTCGTTTGAGACACCCTTAACCGAGGAGAGAACTTAATAGCAGCAACTGAAGGCTGCGAATGCTGGGATGAGCAGTGGTGTCTATTGACCGCTGTTCAGGTTGTCACATCGCCGTTTGGAAGATTAGTTTCCCCATTCATGTCCCCCCCCCCCCCCCCAATACGTTCGGCCGATCGCTCAACATCCTGCGCACGTTCTCTCAACGTGCCGCTCTCCGTGACGCGATTTGTATGTTGTGCAGCGTCCAAACGCAACCGAAAGTCGAGACGCTTAATGCAACAAGCGGGACACAATTCGCCCCCAAATTATAAAAAAAAGGAAAGATAAAAAAACTTTAACGATGAACGAGAATGCAAATTGTGCCTTGTTTGTCATCTTGCACAAGAGAGCGTGCACATGCACGGACCTCTAGCAGTGAGAAGCAAACCCATAGCTTTTTTTATTCTTCATGTCTGCCACAGACTTAGTGACTTCTTGTGCAACTACGTCTGATGGTCGCAGTGTCCCAGCACTCAAATGGAGCACTGGCCAGTACCAATCTCTCTTGGCAGTTTTGAGCCAGTGGGCCGGAGCTCAGTGAGGCCAGCGGTCAGTAGGCTGGGACCCTGAAGATTCCCGGACCCGACGTCCTTCTCAGGGCCGTGTCTGAGTGGACCAGCGGTCGAGACCCGAGGACCTTGGCTGGGTCGGGTCCGCCTCCCCTAGGTCCCGCTAGCCGCAGGGCTGAGAGCCCGGAGGCCGTGGTACCTCCTTAGGTTGTCGGGTAGAAGGGGGCCATTACCCCTTCGTGTTGGGGACCTTCTGTGTTAATCGTTTAATAAATACGTGTTGCCTCCTAAGAAGACTCCATACAACCCACTACGTATGTGTAATAAAGGTCGTGGAAGCGACTTCTGGAATCTGGGTCTTTATTTGTTTTTCGTTTACAACACTCTTCAGATAGGTTCCACTCCTGTCCTACTCCTTCACGCTGCTCACAGACGGCGTGAGAGGGAGATACTCGCGCCTCACCCTCCGTTCGTTCCAGATCTGACCACGTGTTGTCCGTCTCCCCCCCTTTTAATACCCGGGTCACGTGGTGCCTTTCCACCAGTCCTGGTTAACCTCCATGGAATCTTCCAGACTCCATCGTAGTATCCCAGGACCACGCCCCTGACTCGTCCCCCCATTGGCTGTGGCTAAAGCCAGCAGATCCAATCATCTACTTGCAGATGTCACCTTCCCATGACGTCAGGGCCACGCCCCTAGACTTCTCCCCCATTGGCTGTGGGCCAGGACCGGTAGAGCCAATCATCGTAACGAGGTGCGATCAATCAACCACCCGGATGTACTCTCACATTGCATATGCATCAGGATCCCAAAACTGAATTCCCTCACTCACGACCTGCCAGTGTCCACCTTTCCTTATTGGGAAACAATCATCCATAATGTTACAGTCTTACGCACACTTTACGCACCTGATGATTGCTGAATGCGTCCCAATAGGGCAGAGCGTGCCAATCAAATTAGTTACAGATCTTGTTTTGTGTGTGCGCGTGTTTGTCCCGCGTGGTGTAGAGAAGGCTCTACATTTGAATCGGCACTCTCCCTCGTTCCCTCGTTCACTTGTGTGTGTTTACCAACCGTCGGGCGTGTGCAGCATGCAGCTTGTTGAACTTCTTTTGCACCGTGCAATTACTTAATGTGAAGGAGAAGATTATTCGGCGTGAAAAGACGGACCGGAATGTGGGACACTCCGTCATGCCCTGCACAGCGGCAGGGTACAACTCTGCACTTGTTACTTTTTCCCACGTCACCAAAAACTACCGAATGATTTTCAAGCTGCATTGCAATCGCATGTTTATTTGACCATGGGCATAGTCCTGGGCCGTTTTTATTGCACTCGTGCAAAATAATCGTAAAAAAATTAATTGGCCACAGATTTCAACACAAGACGTTCCTGGAAAAAAAAGTCTCATGGCTCATTGAACCATCGCTGGATGATATAGAAAGGTCTGATGCTAATTACACACGTTAGTCAGCGCCGCCTATATTTGACTCACAAAATGTTTGGATCTGAGTCGTGCTGCGTTGTAATGCAGTTGCGAGGCTGGTCACGTTTCACGTGAATAGCACGAGTGATAACACACAACACACATTTCCTAGTAAGTGTACGCGACAACGATGACCACGATGATGATGATGATGAGATGCCCGTTCTGTTGTAAGCCGGCAGCAATAATCGTATTTCTCTTGTGAACAAAGATTGCAGTTTCACTCATCAGAGCGGGCGTGCCGTGTTCCTCAACTCGCTGCGTAATGTTCACCTCGATATTAATACGCCGTCAGGCATTTACACGGCGCTGCTGCTGTCCATGAAACTCAACGGAGAGATTTTTTTATACTTATTGGCCAACGATGAATGTCAGTGGACGAAAGTCGCCGAGCGTGGCCGTAACTCTGACTGCTGCGTACCAAACGCCAAATCGTGACCGACTATGAAGAGATGAAAATCGACTGGTCTGAATTAAGATGTCAACTAAGATCGTTCATCATGTCGTTAGAGACAACAGTGCACTTGAGGAAAACCAAAATGAGCCATTGGCTCTATAAATGTACATTGGCTCACCCGATAACAATTACAAGTGGCTGACCTGATTATATTTGGGGCAATTTGGTGGCCAGTTGCACTACTGACATTTAATAACCAAGAGTGTTGTACTCAAATGTCTGACTGATTAAGTTGACTAAGAGAATAGCCAGATAACATCCTCAGACTTGACTCAAGTTCCACAGATAGTCGGCACCTAGACTATGACTAACATCGCAAATGCTCACCAAACAAACACCGGCTCTCCCGCCCGACCCTCTGCCAGCAGACAGAATGGTGTTCACCGTGAGTGGTGCGCTGGGCTTCCTGCTGCTGCTGGCCACGCTGCTCCTCTGCCTGTGCTGCATGCGGAGGATACGAAACCGCCGGTCACCTCACCTCGACAAGGTGAACAACAAGGACAAGGTCACGGAGCCGCTCGACAAGGTCGTAATCTGCAACCCAATCGGTGGCGGTGGCGGCGGTGGTGGCGGTCAGAACAACAAGCGGCTCGAGAAAAATGTGTGCCTTATGGGAAAAATGTCAACACACAAAATCGAGCTGGAGGAAATGGACAAGCTCGGATTTAACAATAAAGCGACGCTGGGCTACGGCGCCGGATCGCTGGCCACGCCCGAGGAGCAACCGCTGAAGTCGAAGTAAAATGTGAAGAGACCTACGCACACACGAACGGCACGGGCGGAAGTATCGTCCTGTACTGCACTGGCACAACAGATCTTGGTGTCGTGAGCAGCAGCAGCAGCAGCAGCAGTTACACGGACATTGATAACTGGACAGAAATGCATGCCGTGCCTTTTTTTTCCCTGACAGGAGGTAATCGGGGGGTTCGTTCAGTTCCTTTTTCACCATTTTCAGTAGCAGGCGTCGCTTCTGGCGATCCACGCCTGTGTCTTCGCAACAGGCCCGAACCTTCGGTTATGTCCCCCCTATACACTCCCCGGCGTGGCCAGGCCCCCCCCCCCCCCTTCTAGAACCTTCGAGCAAGTTCCCGGAGCTTCCTGACTGACCCCGCTTTGACCTTTAACCCAGACACGCCCCCTTCTGGTTGTTTATTATATAACGTGCCCATCACCATGCTTACCCCTCCTGGCTGGCTGGCAGGCAGCACCCTGTCATTACACTCGTGCATGATCTGTGTTCTGTACTCTTTTCGTGGCCCCCTATTCTTTCAGAGTGCTTCCAGCCACGGAACCCACAACTAAATCCGCCGAGCCTGACGGAGAACAGTTTTAATGCAAAACAGTGGACACACAACCTGTTGAGGGTGAGTGCAGTAGCCACTGTCTAGAAACCTGCTGCCCATTTGGCAATATACAGTTGAGAAGTTCATTGTTGAAACTTTAGTCGTTCCACTAAGCGCTCTATCTTGGACTGAAGCTGGGTATGTTTCACTGCGGTTTTGGAAGGGGACTGCTCTTTCAAGAAGCGCTGACTTAATGTCACTGGAAGTGCAGGGTCAGTGACCTCATAGCACCAGGAATGGCTTGCTTGCTCATTTGATTCTTGTGAACTGCCCAACTATTCCCGAGGTAGAAATGCGGTGGTTCTTGTATACCACCATCAGCTGTTGAGGGTTCGCCTTCAAAGTGGAATAAAGCACTTCCACGACGGGTTGAGACTGGCGTCTTTTCTTTGACTAACAACTACTGCTCGGCTCCACACCCCCCTCCGGATGGTCTCACTCTCACTCCACTGCCGCGATGTGCGCGCTGCCTCGTCCGCCGCCGTCCCAGCGCGGCTCTGTTGGCTCTCTCCCGCTCGCCGCCGACTGGCGGCGCGCGGGGCGTAGAGAGGGCTTCGCCGGCAGGGGCTGCACGTGGCCGGTGGCGTGACGAGGTGGCGGAGACGCAGTCCTGGACTCCAGGTTCCCACACCGAGCCCGAGTCCTCCTAATGCCTCTCCTTCCGTCGC